ATCATCATGGAGGTTATTCCCTTTTTGGTTTTGGCTGTTGGAGTAGATAATATTTTCATTCTTGCTCAACACTTACAGGTAAAAATTATTCAAAAATCAAATTAAAGCGAAAATTAATATAAATTTCTTTTCTTTTCATTTATAGCGTTATAATCCTAAACAAAATGAGTCTTCTCAAGATCAAGTAGCTAAGGTTCTGGGCAAATGTGGACCATCTATTCTTATGGCTTTTGCCTGTGAAGTTACATGTTTCTTTATTGGAGCTTTATCAACTATGCCCGCTATCCGAATGTTTGCATTGAATGCTGCATTAGCTCTTCTAATCGACTTTTTACTACAAATGAGTGTCTTTATTGCTGTTTTATATCTTGATTTGGAGAGACAAAAATCATCTAGATTTGATATTCTATGTTGCTTCAAATCATCTAAAAATATCAATCCTGATCCAACGCCTGATGATGTTGAAGCTGGATTACTTCAAAAAATCTGTAAAGATCATTATGCACCATTCCTCATGAAAGACAAAGTTCGTTTAGTTATATTTATCGGTTTTACTCTTTGGGTTTGCTCTTCTATCGCTGTTGTAAACAAAATTGATGTTGGATTGGACCAAGAACTATCAATGCCTCATGACTCTTACGTCCTTAAATATTTCAAAGCTCAGAAAAATGATTTACGCGTCGGACCTCCTGTTTATTTTGTTGTTGGTGGTAAATTTGATTATTCAGAAATTTTCCACCAAGAAATTATTTGTGGAGCTAGCTTCTGTGGTGAAAATTCCCTTTTTAATCAAATCAGTCAAGCATCACACGAACCCGAATCTAGTTACATTGTTGATACTCCTGCCTCATGGCTTGATGATTACTTCGATTGGGCTGGATCATCATCTTGTTGTCGAATTTTCAAAAATGATACAAATCGCTTCTGTCCATCTACATTAACAGATATTAACCGAAACAAACTTTGTAAACAGTGCCCTATTTTAGATGATGACCAAACTGTGAAACCAAAAGAATTTTATGCTTTTCTGCCTGACTACTTATCTGATGAGCCGACAGCCAATTGTCCAAAAGGTGGTCTTGGAGCTTATGGAGCTGCTGTTAAATTAGGTGATGATGGTCGTGTATTAGCTAGTCACTATAGTTCGTATCATTCACCTCTAGTCAAATCAAGTGATTTCATCGAAGCAATGAAAAGTGCTCGTTTCTTAGCATCAAACATTGAACGAGCAGTATCAACCGCTTTAAAGCCAGGCGAAGAAGTTAAAGTATTCCCATATTCTCTTGTCTACGTTTATTACGAGCAATACCTTACTATCTACGGTGATTCCATCAGAAGTCTTGCCTTATCAATAACAGCTATTTTCTTGGTATCCTTTGTTTTATACGGATTTGATATCAAAGCATCACTGATTGTCGTTTTCACCATTATATGTATCGTAATCAATCTTATGGGAATGATGTATTGGTGGGACATTTCACTGAATGCCTTGTCTTTGGTTAACCTCGTTATGGCTGCTGGTATTTCAGTTGAATTTTGTTCTCATATAACTCATGCTTACCTAATGAGTAATGAAGCAAGCCGTGTTAAGCGATCACAAGAAGCCTTGGCTACAATGGGTTCATCTGTTTTATCTGGAATCACATTGACTAAATTTGCCGGTATTCTGGTGTTAGCTTGGTCAACATCACAAATTTTTGTTGTATTTTATTTCCGAATGTATTTCGGTATCGTTATTATTGGAGCACTTCATGGTCTTGTTTTATTACCTGTACTGTTGAGTGTATTTGGAGGTAAACCCAAGCTGAGCAGTTCATTTATAATTGATAATCCTGAACAAGCAGTTGTGGAATAAACAACGCTACTGAACTTCATAAGCTCACACAATATTGGTTGAAAAACATTGATACTCTGCATTTCAAGATATTAAGAACGGGCAATATTTTTAAATTTTTGGATAACCGTTCAACTTTCAACAAATGAATTGTTTATTTATCATAGTTATTTTCAATAAGAACCAAAAATTGGAAAATTGATCTTTTGTTACACATAATCCTCATCTAAATGTAGAGATACTGTCTGCCTTAACATTTTGAAATGCGTTGTATCACTGCTTTAATGATCATGATCTCTAACCATCTAATACAACCTATTGACTGAACCAAAACTAATCATGAAACAACTACAGAATCCGGTCAAATAATCAGGTTATCAAATTGATTCTATCAATTATTGAGTTGTTTATTTAGTTTTTTGAGAATAACATGCAAATATCTACGTTTCAATGTATAAAATCACTATCTTTTACCCAAACACATAAATTTTTAAATAATAAATATAATAGATTTATATCCTTTTTAAACCGAAAAACATGTTATTAAATAACATGTGGTAATAAAGTTCAACTTATTTTCAAAATTTTCCGTTTCTCAAAAAAATGTCAAATGCAATGCAAAGATTTGAGCGATTATGTTTGACAAAATCAATTATACGACTAAATATAAAATTTGATTAGCAAATATTACTACAATAAACAATTCAAATGTACAATTACCTGAGCTCATCTATGCCATTAATAAGCTTTTCACATTGATAGAGATGATCGACCGTACTATTATCATATTGGCTCAAAGATTGTCTTGAGAACTTATGAACGACACAACTTCGTTGTGAAATAATTTTTGTAGTTTAACTGAATGTAAAGTAAATCAGAATTAGAGTTTATTGTGTAAAAACACTGAAGGGATTGATTCACAACTCATGAACTGGTAAATCACTTAAAGTACCATTTCACTGTGATAACTGTAATCCTATGATTATTATCATCCATCTTTGTCTTTAATTGAATTTGTATCCTTTAATATCATTCAATATGACGTTATGTTTCATCTGATGATTTTCAATCAAGTGTACAACAGTCTATCCACTTGATGCCATCCTTGTTTTAATTTTTTTAGGCGTGTTTATTAATTTGGTGAATCTGGAAAGGCTGTTTGCATTATTAATAAATGCTATAACTTGTTAGTTATCAAACATTCGCGACAATGTACATAGCAATCAATCTTTTATTAGTGTTAACATTTTCACTTCTTTTGGTTGACAATTGTGTCAAAAGTCAAAAGTGTGTATTTAGATCAGTATGTGATGACTTCTCTGGTAAAGCAGTCACTGGACTTAAAATTCCCTGTGTCGCCGAGACTGGACCTCAAACTATTACGGACAAATCTTTATTGCGTTCGCTTCAAGAATTTTGTCCTTACCTCGACCCTGGTAAGTAAAATTACTCACATAACCTGTTTAATGTTTCTAATGTACTCATTTTTTATTCATTTATTTTTTTACAGTTAACAATCCAACTCTCTGTTGTGATGAGGATCAAATCAATCAATTGGTCGATCAATTGGCTCTCCCGAAAGGAATGTTATACCGATGTCCATCATGTTTCTACAATTTTGCTAATTTTTTGTGCCACATGACATGTTCACCAAAACAATCAACATTCTTAAGGCTAGATGCATCAGAACCGTCGAAAAGCAATAGTAGCAAACAGCAAATAACCGCGATTTCCTATGCAATGGAGGAACAATTTGCTCAAACCTTATTCAATTCTTGTGTCAATGTTTTGGCTCCTGGTCAATTGAAGAAACCAATTAGTATAATGTGTGGAGGTTGGGGTGACCAATGCAATGCTCATCGTCTGTTGGAATATGTTGGACAAAAAGATCCTTCACCATTTAATATTAAGTTTCAATACTATCCTGATTCTAAGGACACTGGCATCTCACCTATTCCTCTCGTGTCATCACAATGCTTTGAAGCACCAGGAGTTGCTAATGAATCAGCTGCTCTTGTCAGATGGTCAGCTGTGTGTAAACC